CGCTGAGCAGGGAGCCCGATGCGGGGCTCAATCCCAGGACCCTGTGATCATGACCTGAGCCGAAGGCAGACGCTTAATGACTGAGCCACCCAGGCGCCCCAGGAAGTTGTTTTAATGAGTGCTTCAGCCAGTGCAGAAACTGCTCCTCGAGAGAGAGGTTAAACTTTACTTAAAGATGAAGAGGCACAATTAACTAACCGAGGTTCTATTTTCTTTTCTTTGGGACTTTGGGTGCAAAGTGTTGAACATAGTTAATTAATACTCCTCACACAACAAACTTTATAAATAAGTTTACATCTGCATTTATAGAATTATTTAGGGTCTGAAATGCAATCACTTAAAAACTTTACGGTTATAATTTATAACATAATTTTGGGAGACACTGTGTGGTATATTAAGGCTCCTGAAACATCTTTGGAAAAAATCCCTTGCCATTGTCAAGGATCTCCCGTGTAAATCTCCTTATGGAAATCTTTTTTTCTACATTTTTTTTTTTTAAAGCAGAAGAGTGTTCTGGGTAAATGAGCACAGCTCCACCCTTTCCAATCCTTGGCCAACACAATGGCTTCATGATTCATAACCTGAGCAATGCTTATCCCAGATAAAGTCAGGATGTAGGGAAGTTCTTTCCACTTTTCCTCTTAAGAATACTTCCCGGGGCGTCTGGCTGGCTCAGTTGGTAGAGCATGTGACTCTTGATCTCAGGGTCGTGAATTTGAGCACCATGTTGGGTGTGGAGCCTACTTGAAAAAAAAATAAAAAAGGAAACTTGCCAACCATGAAGGGAAGGTCTTTGGCTTTTGGTTCACAGGGGGAATATCATTTTTTTTAAAAAAAGATTTTATTTATTTATTTGACAGAGAGAGAGACCGCGAGAGAGGGAACACAAGCAGGGGGAGTGGGAGAGGGAGAGAAGCAGGCTTCCCGCTGAGCAGGGAGCCCGATGCGGGGCTTGATCCCAGGACTCTGGGATCATGACCTGAGCAGAAGGCAGACGCTTAACAACTGAGCCACCCAGGTGCCCCTAGTAAGTGCTCACAGTTATGGCAACTGTTATTATTTCATTTGCTTCTTACAATAATTCTGTAAGATACTGAGGGGAGAAAGGGGGTCTATTTTACAGCCGAGGAAACTGAGGCACAGTGAAATTAAGGGGTATACTGGGAGCAGAACTTGGTTCTTCACAGTGCCAAACACAAAGTCAGGTGACAAGCCCTTTCGTAGCCATTACAGAATGGTGGCTTTGCCTGTCTCTGATGGCTCAGTGATGGCAGAATGATAATGGGGTGAGGGGGTAGGGTGTAGAGGAAAAGGGTGGTGGAAGGCACTTTTCAACATAAAGTGATATAAGACTCTTGGTTGATGTGGTCTGGATAGTATTCCCCTCTCCTTCCTTCCAGTATTCTTTTAAATAAACTTTTTTATTTTGGAATAATTTTAGATTTACAGAAAAGTTGCAGAGAATTTGTTTACCCTTTACGCAGATGCTAGTATTTTCTGAAAACACCTCCTGTGTGCCAGGAACTTTCTGGGCAGAAGGAATACAGCAATAAAACTATCTCTGCTCTCCACTGGAAGATCCCAGAGTTTGCGAGAGGAGTGGACCCCTGGAGTCCTTAGTTTGTGGTTCTCGAAGGTATTCCTGCCTCCATGTCACTTGTCAGAGATCTGCTAAATCTATTAAGTTAGTGTTTTCAGGAGTGGGGCCCAGGAAGCTGTATAAAAACAAATGTTGAAAAAACAAACGTTCGAGGGGATTCTAAGGCAGAACTTGTTTGGGGAATTCGTGGTCTGGTGCAGCGTGTCCATTTCCCTGTGCAGGTGAGAGAGCACCATGGCTCAGAGCGTGGAAGCCACTGGCCCCAGCTCACACAGCCAGGAAGTGGCAGAGTCTAGACCAGAAAGCAGGTCTCCTGGTTCTATGCTCTCCTTACACTGTGATTCCCTAACGCAGAACAAGAAATGAGTTTAACTTGCAACAGGAACACCCCAGGTAGAGTTTAGAAGAGTTTCTTGGGTATTCAGGTGTTACTAGTTAGGTTCTTGGCTGCAAGGGACAGAAACGGATTCTGGCTGATGACTCCTGTAAATGAGTTTTATTGCAAACACATTGGGTAGGGAAAGAAAAATGATTTCTCGACTCCTGCTCACACTTCTGATGCCAGATATGTGGGTTTTTCACGCCAAGCAATTCTGACACCAACTACCCCCCTGGTTAAGGGCTCAGTGCCCTCTGACTGCTCCCCACTTAAGACGCCAGGTGCGAGTCTGGGCTTCTGATCAACTGGCTATTAATTGGGGTTCCTATAACCCCCTCCTTGGGCTTAATAATTTGCTAAAACAGCTCACAGAACTTAGGAGAGGGCTTTACTTATTATTATTGTTTTTTTATATAAAGGATACTCAAGAACGGCCAAATGGAAGAGATGCATGGGGCAGGGTGGATGGGAAAGGATGCAGAGCTTCCACGCGCTCTCTAGGTGTTTCATTCTCCCAGCGCCTCACTGTGTTTACCAACCTGGAAGCTCTCTGCATCTTCTGTTTAGAGTCTTCATCGAGGTTCCATTACATAGGTGTGATTGGCTATTGACCATTGCTGATTAAAATCAATCTCTAGCCCTTCTTCCCTTGCCGGAGGTGGGGCTGAAAGTTCCAACCCTCTAATCACATGGTTATTTCCTCAGGCAACCAGCCCCCATCCTGTGGGAGTCGCTTCCTTGGAGCACCAGCTCAGGTCTGGTTCAAAGGGGCTTATATGAATAACAGAAGATGCTCCTCCCACCCCTGTCCCTCAGGAAATTCCAAGGGTTTTAGGAGCTCTGTGCCAGGAACTGGGGGTGAAGACCAAATAGATACATCTTAGTATATCACAGTATCACAGGTAGGTTACAGAATCATTGGAAGGCTGCAGAAACAGGTTTGGGAAACACGCTGAGATGAAAGGAGACCAGGTACCTAGATCTACACCAAAACCACGTTGCAGGGCCAGGTAGGTGAAGCAGGCCCCATGGCCGCTGTGTGCTCAGTGCGGCAGCCTGCTTGGAAGATACAGCTGGCCTTGGGTGCCCGATGCCACCCTGTCCCCAACCGCGTGCACACTGGATATGCTGCTTTATAGTGCACCGCTGTGAAGAACTTAGCCAGTCTTCAAGCTCCAGCCTCAAGAATCCTAAGCCAGTGCGGCTGATTGATGAAGCCAAAGTCACGACCTGAGCCTTAGCTGCCTAGGGACCTGGAACCGAGAGGACTGGGGATTTTTACCTTCTGTAGCGGGAAGTGGTCCTTGCTGCCCGCCAGGATTCATGAGATGTAGAATTCCCCAAGAACCCTGACAAATGGCCATTATGTAAGTGTTATCAAAAGAAGACACTGGGAGCCCTTGACATTTGCAGCTTCAACACTTACGGTTTTTGCATTTCATTAGCTACTCCCAAAGGCCCTTTGTAAATGGATGTGAATTGAATGACTTTGCTGGAGCCAGTCATTTCCTAGTGAGTGAGCCAGGCCTGCCATGCCACTTGGACATCTCACGGGATTTCACTCTTCTCTACGAGTTCCAGCCTGTAGGTAACCTGCGTGCAGTGACTAAAATCTTTGTTTCTTGTTGGAGGAGTAGAAGAGACTCCTAAAAATAAATCACTTGATAGTGCTAGAAATAGAAATGAGAAGAAAGTGAAGAAGCTTGAGAAACGGACTTTTTTTTTTTGTGGCCACAAATAGAAGTTTCGGATAAACTTGGCATGGAATGCCAAGTTCAGCGGTGCCTAGGATCTCTGATACCAAGCGAGCTACCGTGTGTGTCACATAGATAAAAGGAAAAGTGCTTTGGGAAGTTTTTTTTTTTTTTTTTAAGATTTTATTTGTTTATTTGACAGAGAGGGAACACAAGCAGGGGGAGTGGAAGAGGGAGAAGTAGGCTTCCCGCTGAGCAGGGAGCCCGATGCGGGGCTCAATCCCAGGACCCTGTGATCATGACCTGAGCCGAAGGCAGACGCTTAATGACTGAGCCACCCAGGCGCCCCAGGAAGTTGTTTTAATGAGTGCTTCAGCCAGTGCAGAAACTGCTCCTCGAGAGAGAGGTTAAACTTTACTTAAAGATGAAGAGGCACAATTAACTAACCGAGGTTCTATTTTCTTTTCTTTGGGACTTTGGGTGCAAAGTGTTGAACATAGTTAATTAATACTCCTCACACAACAAACTTTATAAATAAGTTTACATCTGCATTTATAGAATTATTTAGGGTCTGAAATGCAATCACTTAAAAACTTTACGGTTATAATTTATAACATAATTTTGGGAGACACTGTGTGGTATATTAAGGCTCCTGAAACATCTTTGGAAAAAATCCCTTGCCATTGTCAAGGATCTCCCGTGTAAATCTCCTTATGGAAATCTTTTTTTCTACATTTTTTTTTTTTAAAGCAGAAGAGTGTTCTGGGTAAATGAGCACAGCTCCACCCTTTCCAATCCTTGGCCAACACAATGGCTTCATGATTCATAACCTGAGCAATGCT